GCTGCCTGGCTGTGCTCGGGTGGAGCGCGGCGGGCGGTGCAAGCGCGCCATGGACTTCAACATGAAGAAGCTGGCGTCGGACGCGGGCATCTTCTTCACCCGGGCGGTACAGGTGAGGCCTGGCGCCGCGCGGTGCGCTGGACAGGGCGTCCTGGTTCCCGCACGGCCGGCTACCGGGGCCCGGATGTGTGCCGGGCGTGGCGCGTAGGGCGCTCTTGCAGCAGAACCCTGGGGGATACCGGAGAAGCCCCTCCAATGCAGCTGCCACCTTTCCCGCAGAGAAGACACCCTCATCCCACTGGAATTCCCACTGTTGCGCTGCCCAGAAGAGCGAGCGAGCCTGGGGCCGCTAGTTACACTGGCTGCACCCTCAGCGTGGCCCAGGGACGGGGCTGAGCCCGGCCTATGCTCTGCTACCTGGGGAAGAGGGATCCGAGCCCACCATTTCGACCAGCTCGGTTACCGCCCTCCCTGGCTTTTGCTCCATGCTCTGTGGGAGCCACGCTGAGAAGGGGAGAGGGCAGCAGGGGGCTCCTCCCTTTCGGTCTCTGCCCAGCCAGAACTCTGGCTTTGGCCAGGGCTTGTAGAGACCTGGGTCCTTGTCTAGGGACTCATGGGCCCCTCAAAACCCCTTCTCTGAGCCAGTCTCCACACCTGTGCAATGGGCTCGTGGTGCTATGATCTTTCAACACCTTTTTACACGCTTGGAGAGTCAGGCCAGAATCCAGGGGGGCTGTGGTTATTTCCTTTCTGTTCTCTGGGAGGCCTGTTTCCTCTTAGTCCTCAGGCCTGGCGAGTGATGGAGAGAGAGCTGAGGCCTAGCTGGGCCTCTTCTTGGGAAACTCCAGGCAGATGATGCTAGGATTGGAACCAGTCCTATCCATTGGAGGCCTGGGAGAGAAACTGAGGCAGCTTCAAGTCATGATATTGATCTGGAATCTGATATGGTTGTAAATGAGTGCTCCCTCCTGTGACCTTGGGAAAATGGCTTTCCCTCCTTGAGCCTCAGTTTCTCCATCTGAAAAACGGGATTATTAATAGCTCCCTGCCAGGATGAATATGAGGCTCCCATGGGACTGGGCATGTATGTGGTCACTGTAGGCCAGCTCATTGTTGGTGCTTGTGTGTTCAGTAGTGTGCTGGTGCATCACGTGACCTTGGGCAAGCGTCTTCCCCTCCCTGAGCCTCAGTCTCCCTGTCGGTAAATCGAGCGTAACGTTGTGCCTGCTTCAGATGGTGGCTGTGAACATTCAGTCAGATCTGGCAGGCAGGGGGGGTTGGCCCATTGCAGTGCTCTGGTCCTGTTGTTGTCCTTGTCCTTGTTGGCACTACTGAGCCTGGCCCGCCCTCTGTGGAGAAGCCCAGCCCCTGCCATGCCTCCCTCCTCTGTGAGGCTGTGTTTACTAGAAAGCCAAGTGTCCCCATGAGGATTAGTGTCCCAGTAGGTGAGGATTTGCAGCTCGGTTCTCCTAGCCTGCTGGGTGCCCCCAGTGCTAGTGGGGATGCCAGGACTCCAGAGCTCCTGGGATAGCCCCTGTCCTACTGGGAGGTGGGGAATCTACCCTAGCATTGGCATGGCAACTGAGATATCTCCTGCATCTGGGGAAGAACCTGATCTGCTGGTTCCTGCTCTACTGGGGCCTTAGCACCTGACCTGACATTGCCAGAAGAGCCCGGGAGTAGTGGTTGTGGTGGTGGAGGGGGGCGGGGAGCTTGGGCCCTATGGCTTCACTGCTGTCCCACACTGGAGTGGGAGCCAACAGTGCCCAGGCTCCAGCCTCCCAGAGTGGAGGAGGGAGCTGGAAGGGTTATAAATAGAGGCTTTCTCTGGCTTCAGACGCCCACCCCCTACTGCTACCATCTTGCAGGGAGCAGCCTTGGACTCTGCAGGCAGAGGCCTCTGAGCACCAGGCCCCTTCCCCGTGGCAGGGCTGGCAGGGCAGAGAGAGGGACTTGAAGTGTGACATGGGCAGGAAGGGACACACAGGGGACCTGCCAGAGGCCAGCCTGCCCAGGGGATAGAGTCATGAGCTGGGAAGCCCCTCCTAGCCCGCAGCTAGGAGGGGTGGGAGGAAGGCTCTTCATTATCAATACGTGGGCAGCTCCTCTGAGTACCTGCCACCCTGCCAGGCACCAGGGCATACTGGGTAAGCACTCAACCCCTCCACGTACCAGGGACAACTTGAAGAGCCTCATCTCTACCCCCACCCTGGCAGGCACAAAGCCATGGCCTCAGGATGAGAATTCCGAGGGTAGGATCCCTTTTGCATGGATGATTCTGGAATGCCTTCCAAGTGGGGAAAGTAGGGAAGGTTTTGTGAAGTTGGCCCAGGGAGAGTATTCAGGTGACGAGCACAGCCCAGGTGAGGACCTTGAGGCAGGAGAATGTAAGGCATGTTTGAGAATGAGTATGATGCCAGTGGGGGTGGACAGGAGAAATGATAGTGTGAGTACTATTAGTAGTAATAGTAGTGGTAGCAGTAATAATAAAGAGCTGACATACCACAGCAGCTCATCACCAGAGGGTGGCAGACGACTGTGGGGTGAAGGTACCTGTGAGGTGGGAGGAACAAGGTGGGAGGGGATGGGGAGGAGAGATGCTGAAGTGCCTGTTTTGCCAGGCTAGCCTGGGTTTGGAGATGTTGAGTACAAAGAATTTCTGGTACATCAGGGTAAGGAGGTCCCCAGGTAGCTTCTGGGAACCGAGGAGGGAGGTGAGAGAGGCATTTTATTCATCATAGTGATGATCTGATAGTACCAGCTAGTATCTATCAAGCCTGGACTGCGTGCCAGCCACAGAGCTAATCACCTCCACATTGTGTGACAGGTCCCGTTAGCCCCACTCTCTGGCTGACTTCACCTCTCTAACCCTCCAGATGAGTTTCCTCAAATAACAACAACAACAACACCCTCCCCCCAGGGCTGGGTGAGGTGAGGCCTGTTCAGGGCCTGGCTTCCAGCAGGGGGATGGGCAGGCCTGAGACCTGACCCAGGGAAACCACAGTGTGTGGGGGGAGCCTGATGCAGAAGAAGAGACAGAGGCAACAAGAGTGAGGGACGTAGAAGGAGGACCAGGAGCAGCTGGTCCCCAGGTGGGGAGCTGGAGGCTGTAATCCTGGTGGCCTAGCCTGCCCAGCCCTGCGGGAAGAAACCCAAGCTCTGCTACATAATTGATGGTTGCCGAGCAGCCCAACTCTGTCAGGCGCTTGCGTCCTGCTCCCCTAAGCTGGGGCAGCCCGGTGGCCTCTGGATTATTGTTGCTGCCCAGACCTCAGGAAGGACCTCCAGGCTCCGGGTTATGATGACTCTGCCTGAGTCCATCCAGCACAGTCCGGGTCCCTTGCTTAGCTTCAGTAACATCACTTATAAAATGGGAAACTTAATCCAGCCTGCCTTGGAAGGGTTGGAGGAGCCAGTACGGTCATCGGTATAAAGTACTTGAGTGGACCGAGCCATAGATGCGAGAGGCAGTGTCTCTTATTATTACTGGCCTTATCATGCAGGCCTTTTCTCTTTTGCTCTTTGGCTGTGATCCTGGGTGGGCCCCTTGCCCTGGCTAGAGAAGGTTTTGGTGTCTCTGTTTGGAAAATGGGGACATTGGTTCAAGGCCCATCTAGATCCGAGTTGCCAGAGTTTTGGGCTGGTTTCGGGCTGTTCCTCAGTGGAACAGCCCTGAGGAGAAACTCGTGTGGCATCCTGGTCCCTGCCTGGCCCTGTGGTAGGGTGGCCAAACTTCCTGGGCCCTGGCTATATCCAGCAGCTTGTCCCAGTGAGCTAGTGATGTGCCGTGTGTCATTTGGCTCTGCTCCCTCCCCACACATTCCCTGGCCCACAGGCCCTTCTTAGCAGCAGCAGCAGCACTCCTGCCTTCCACTGAATGCTGACTGTGTGTCAGAACCCAGCCTTAATGTCTTACTGTCATCTTCCTTATGCCATCTATACACCCTATGAAGGAGATGCTCTTATTAGCCCCAGTTTTCAGCTTAGGAGACCAGTGCTCAGAGAGGCAAAGCTACTTGCCCAAAGTCACACAGCTTGTCAATGGCAGAGCTGAGACTTGAAGCCAGGTCTCTGACTCCAGAGCCTGATTTCTTCCCACTCAATCCCTTAGCACCTCCTCCCTCAGAGGGCTCCCTGCTCCCTGTCGAAAACCCAGACCTCACTCCTTGCCCTGTTTGTTCCACGAGCCCTTTCCACCAAGTCCTTCTGCAGGGCCAGGGTGGAAGGACCCCTAAAAATGGGCTCCTGAGGGTTCCTTCCCCCTCTAAATTTATGCTGTATTTTGTATAAGTGTGCGTTTCTGGCAGAAGAGGGTCTATAGCTTTCATCAGATTTCCAGAAGAAGCTATGATCTGTAAACTTGAGTCCAAACAGAGGAACCAGCAGAGGCCCAGAGTGGGAGTGTAACTTGATCAAGGTCACAGAGCAGATTAGGAGCAGAGCAAGTCTCTTGACCTTGGGACCTGGGTTCTAGCTGGGAGCAGGAGTTGTGGGGGGAGCAACCCTCAGTCTACCTGTGTGCAGGCCTCTCTCTTTCTGAGCCCTCCCCTTCTCCGCCCTCCCCCTACAGTTCACAGAGGAGAAATTTGGCCAGGCTGAGAAGACCGAGCTCGACGCCCACTTTGAAAACCTTCTGACCCGGGCGGACAGCACCAAGAACTGGACGGAGAAGATCCTGAGGCAGACAGAGGTGTTGCTGCAGCCCAACCCTAGTGAGTAGACGGAGGCCGGCCCTCGAGGGTGAGGGTTGGGGAAGCTGGCCGGAGGCCAGGCCCCGCTGAGGCCAGGCAGGTGGGACTGCACAGCTGAGCAGGTAGGATTTGGGTTAGAACCTGGTGTGGGAAATGCTAGTTACAGAAAACAAGAGGCTCAGTGTTGGGCTCCACGGTGCTCTCTCTGGAGCAGTGAAGGAGCTAAGTTTTGCACGAAGGAGTTGAAGAAATAGCTGGAGACTATAACACACTTGGGAGGAAAGACAGGAAAACATAAACTCAGTCATTTTAGAGAAGTCAGTGAAGCCCAGATATGAAAAGAGGCTTGCCCAAAGTCACACAGCAAGCAAGGAGTGAGAACAACCAAATGGCAGGAGAACCCACAGGAAAGGGGGACATGGCATTGTGAGGTTTGTCTGCCTGTAAATCTGATGGGGTGAATCCCTTGAGGCCTTTTGGGGGCTAGGGCCAGGAAACTGTTCACGTGTGTATGTTGCCCAGTAAATCCATGTTGTAATGAGGAAGGCAGTGGACTGGCTTTGACTTTGGCCCTGTCCCCCCCAGCTGTGTGCCCTTGGGCAGATACTTAATATCTCTGAGCCTTTTCTTGTATAGCGTGAGGTGTTAGTAGTGCCAGTCTCACAGGTTTGAGGTGAACATGTTGTTGTTGTTATGTGCCGTCGAGTCGGCAACCCAAGGAGGGGTTGCTGTGAGTGGGGGCCGACTCGATGGCACATAACAACAGCAACAGCAACATCACTACTGAAGTAGATTGCCCAGTCTTCCTTCCAAGGAATGGCTGGTGCGTTTGAACCTCCAGCCTTCTGGTTAGCAATCAAGTGCCTTAGGCACTATGCTACCAGAGCATAGCAAGAGAATATTCCAAAGTCACCAGGCTGGGCGCTTCCATGGATAAGGCCTGATCTGGGTCTGTTTCTGTCTTCATGGCTTTCATACTTGGGCTTGGACCAAAGAGCCCTGTGGCTTTGATTGCTGTCTCCTCACAGGTGCCCGAGTGGAGGAGTTCCTGTATGAGAAGCTGGACAGGAAGGTCCCCTCACGGGTCACCAATGGGGAGCTGCTGGCTCAGTACATGGCAGAGGCGGCCAGTGAGCTGGGGCCCACCACTCCCTACGGTGAGCCAGATCCCATAGCCGAGCTTGGGGGATATAATCTCTGGCTCTCCATTTTTCCCTCCCTCCCACCCTCCATTTTTTCCATTATACAAATAATACCAGAATGTATCTTTATTGTAAAAACCCCAATCAATGCAGAAGAAAATAGTGAAAAATGGAAGTCTTCCTTACCCAGTTCTGGTTTGTTTGTGTGTTTTGATTGTGGTAAAACATCTGCCATTTTCGTCATTTTTACGTGTACAGTTCAGTGATGAATTATGTTCACCAGGTTGTATGACCATCACTGTGTGTGTGTGTGTGTGTGTGTGTGTTTATTGATTGTGATTTGGGTGAAGATTTACAGAACAAATTCACTTTCCATACAGCAGTTCACATATACTTTGTCTCATGACATTGACTACAATTTCCCACAATGCAACAGCTTCCCTCCTACTTCTTCCCGATAGTTACCTTTTCCCTGTGTCTATCCCTCCATGCACTCCTGCCCCCTGAGCTGTCTCCCTGTGCATACACAGTCCTTCTTTCTCACCATTTGTATTTTTTTATGTGATCAGACCATGTTTCCTAGTCTGCAACCTGATTTTTTAACTAGGCATTCTACTACAGATACCCGTTTACAGAAGCCTTTAGAGGTCCACCTTTTTTTTCCTTACCATTTTTAACAGTTTTTATTGAGGTATCATTTACAAGCCATTAAATACACCTATTTTAAGAGTGTAATTCAATGAGTTTTAGTAATTTTTCATAGTTATACAAACATCCGCACAATCAAGTTTAAAGAATATCTCACCCACCCCAAAAATACCCCGTGTCATGTCCGTTTACAGTCAGTCCCTACTCTCACCCACCAGTAATGTGTTTTTATCTCTATTTGCTTTTTCTGACCATTTCATATAAATGAAATATATAGTCTTTTGCATCTGACTTTTACTTAAGGAACTCAGGTGGTATAGTGGTAAGACGCTTGTCTGCTAATCGGAAAGTCAGCAGTTGAACATTTACCTGACATAGATACACTCCTTGGAGAGAACAATCATGGGAGAAAGAAGGGCTGTTTATGCATAGAGAGACAGCTTAGGGGGCAGGAATGCATGGAGGAATGGACACAGGGAAGAGGTGACTGTCAGGAGGAAGTCGGGGGGGAGCTGTTGCATTGTGGTGCATTATGGTCAATGTCATGAGACAAAGTATATGTGAACTGCTGGATGGAAAGTGAATTTGCTCTGTAAACTTTCACCCAAATCACAATTAAAGAAAAAGAAAGAAAGTCAGCAGTTCAAACCCACCAGCTGCTCCGCGGGAGGAAGATGAGGCAGTCTACATCTGTGAAGATCTACTGCCTTGGAAACCCAGTGGGGATCACTATGAGTCGTAATCAACTTGATGATGGTGGGTTTGGTCTTTCCCTTAGCATAATGTTTCGGCGGTTAGTCTGTATTGTAGCATATTTCAGGATTTCATTTCTTCTGATTGCTGACTTAATACTTCTTTATGTGGATAATACTGTGTTTTTTTGTCCATTCACCAGCTGATGGACATCTGGCTGGTTTTTCTATGAACATTTTTATACAAGTTCTTGTGTGGACATATGTTTTCAGTTCTCTTGAGTAAATACCTAGGAGTGGAAATGCTGAGTCATATGGTAAATTTGTTTAACATTTTAAACATAAAAAAGAAACTGCCGAACAGTCTTCTACAGTAGCTGTGTGGTTTTATATTCCCACCAGGAGTATGTTGTTTAATTTCCAAATATTGTGGATTTTCTGAGTTTTCTTCTGTTGTTGATTTCTAATTTGATTTCACTGTGATCAGAGAACACACTAGGTATGATTTTAATCCTTTTACGTGTATTGAGATTTGTTTTATGGCCTAACATATGGTCTATCTTGGAGAATGTTCCATGTGCACTTGAAAAATATGTTGTTACAGGGCGGAGGGTTACATAAATGTCATTTAGGTCTAGTTGATGGATAGTGTTGTTCCAGTCTTCTTTGTCCTTGCTGGTTTTGTTTTGTTGTCCCATTCATTATTATTATTTCTTTGGCTCCTTGTCTTCCCCTTGCCATTGGTGGAGGGGATTGGTCCCCTGGTAACCACAAATCTTTTGTCCCGATGGATGAGTTTTCCCATTCTAGTTAATTTATTTAAGTGGGATCGTAGCATACTTGTCTTCTTGTACCTGGCTTATCTCACTTAGCATCATGTGTCCAGCTTCATCTACGTGGTGACGTGTATACGTCCTGCATTTCTCTTTAGAGCTGAATAATACTTCATTGTGTGGATATGCTGCATTTTGTTGATCCATTCATCTGTTGATTTTCACCCTTTGGCTATTGTGAATAGTGTGAAGATGAACATTGGTGTACATGTGTCTGTTTGAGTCACTGTTTTCAGATCTTTTGCGTACATACCTAGGAATTACTGGGTCATAGGGTTTTCCTGTTGTTTTCCACAGTGCCGCATCATTTTACATTCCTACCAGCAGCGTAGGCGTGCTCAGATTTCTCCACATCCTCTGCAACATTTGATATTTTCTGTTTTTGTTTTGAAGTAATAGCCATCCTAGTAGATGTGAAGTGGTATCTCATCGTGCTTTGGATATGTTTCCCTAATGACACTGACGTGGGGCGTCTTTGCACGGGCTTCTTCCCTATTTTTCTGTCTTCTTTGGAGAAACGTCTAAGCCGTTTCTTTGTCCATTTATTAATTGGCTTATTGTTTGTTGTTAGGCTTTCAGAGTTCTTTATGTATTCTGGATAGTAAATCTTTATCTGGTACATGGTTTCCAAATATTTTCTCTCATTCAGTAGGATGCCTTTTCATTTTCTTGATAATGTTACTTGGTGTACAAAAGTTCTTAATTTTGATGAAGCCTGGTTTATTTATTTTTCTTGTTACTCGTGTATTTGGAGCCATATCTAAAAGGCCATTGCCTGGAAGAACACTCTGAAGTTTTACCCGTGTTTTCTGCTAAGAGTTTAGCTCTTTATTTAGGGGATTGATCCATTTTGAGTTAATTTTTGTATATGATATAACATGTGGGTCCATCTTGATTCTTCTGCATGTGGAAATCTAGTTGTCCATCACCATTTGCTAAAGAGACTGTTCTTTCTCTGTTGAATGGATTTGGCCTCCTGGTTGAAAATAAATGGACCATAGAGCTCCGGTTTTATTTCTGGATTCTCACCTCTGTTCCATCGGTCTGTATGTCTATCCCTATCAGTGTTTTTACTGTCAGAGCTCTGTAGTAATTTTGAAATTGGAAATGTGAGTTCTGCTACTTTTTTCTTCCCCCCAAGATAGTTTTGGCTTTTCCAAGTTCTTGTAATTTCTTATGGATTTGAGTATTAATTTTTCCATTTCTGCAAAAAAAGACTGTTGAAATTTTAATAGGAACTATACTGCATCTGTAGATCACTTTGGGTAGAATTAACATCTTAACAGTATTAAGTCTGCCAATCCATGAACAGAGTTTTTTTTTATATAATTTTTATTGTGATTTGGGTGAAAGTGTACAGAGCAAATTCCTTTTCCACGCAGCAGTTCATACACATTTTGTTTCATGACATTGACTGCAATTCCCACAATGCAGCAGCTCTCTTCCCACTTCCTGCCTGTAGTTACCTCTTCTCTGTGTCCTTTCCTATGCATTCCTGCCCCCTGAGCTGTCTCCCTGTGCAGATAACTGCCTTTCTGTCAATCCATGAACATAGAATTTTTTTTTCCATTTATTTAGCTTTTCTTTAATTTCTTTCAGCAGTGTTTCACAGTTTTTAGTGTAAAGGTGGTTTACTTCCTTGCCTAAACTTATTCCTAGATATTTTATTCTTTTACCGAGGTCCAGTATTTCTTCTTGAATAAAAACTTCATCATTTGTTATTTACTCTGGTCAATTTCCAGAGTTCTGAAATGGTTCTTTTTTTGACAGTTTTGTACAGTGTTGGTACTGCTTTTTGGGAGAGGACTTGTCAAGCTTTTCCTTCTGCCATTACAGAGGCACACCCCCCCACCTCAGGTTTTTTTTTTTAAGACTACAGAGTACTCCAGTTTGGGGATGTCCCGCCATTTATTTGTCTGTCCTCAGTTGATATCCACTTTTTGCCTCCACTTTTTGCCAGGCAAACCATTCTGCACTTAGCATTCTTGCCCAGACTCCTTCAGCATGTCTTTCTAAGCTATCTCCTGTTTCCTGGGGTCACACAGCCTCAGCCTGGCCCTCTGCTCACCTCTCAACCCTGTTTTCTCAGGGAAGACACTAATCAAGGTGGCAGAAGCTGAAAAACGCTTGGGAGGTGCTGAGAGGGACTTTATCCACACAGCCTCCATCAACTTCCTCACGCCCCTGCGCAACTTCCTGGAAGGAGACTGGAAGACCATTTCGGTGAGGGGTCTTGGGCCACTCAGTTTCTTTCTTTCCTTTTTAAAATTTTGATTTGGGTGAAAGTTTACAAAGCAAATTCATCTTCCATACAGCAGTTCACATACACTTTGTCTCATGACATTGACTGCAATCTCCCACAATGCAATAGCTCTCCTCCTACTTCCTCCCCATAGTTACCTCTTCCCTGTGTCCTTCCCTCTCATGCATTCTTGCCCCTAGAGCTGTCTCCCTGCACATATACAGCTCTTCTATTCTCCCATGATTGCTCTCTCCAAGGAGTGTATCTAGGTAATGTAAATGTTCAGCTCATATCCCTGTCTTTTGTTTGGTTGGAAGCCACAGGAGTGTGTTCAATTCCAGGCCTGAAGGGCAATTAGGTCTTGGGTTCCATTTGGCCATTTAGTTTCTTGGTAATGTAATAGCCCTTTCCTTTGACCTTCTGAGCACAGATTCTCCTCCCCTTGCTGGGGCCTCCCCAGACTTGTCTGCTGTGGACTGAGTGACCTGGAGTAGATATCTTCCCCTCTGTGAGCCCCCCTGTCTTTACAAGATGGTCTTGAGGGCCATGTTGCCATAGCCAAAGGTCTGTAGCAGACTCAGGGCTGCTCAGGGTCTCACTGTTCCATTCCCCAACCTGCAGAAGGAGAGGCGGCTCCTCCAAAACCGGCGCCTGGACTTGGATGCTTGCAAAGCACGGTTGAAGAAGGCCAAGGCCGCTGAAGCCAAAGCCACGGTAGGTGTCCCCGCTGGGCTCCCAGCCCCACCAGACTGTGGCTGGAACCACAGGGGCGTGAAGGGACTTAATGTGTGGCATGTCCTCTCTCCTCTCTCTCTGCCTGGAGTGGCCTGGCTGGGGGACGTTGGGCTGGGCTGGCCACTTCAAGTCATGCCTGTCTGCCCTCCACCCCTAAGGGAACCCTGGTGGCCCCAGAGCTCTGGGCCCCAAGGCAGTCATTTATGGGGTAGGTGGACCAGCAGTACCCCCATCTGGGCCCAAGGCACCCCACAACCTTCCCAGACAGCCAGTTGGAGTCTCTCGCATGCCCCTCCCCCGCCTTCCTTGTATGCTCTGCTTTCTGTCCCAGGCTCTGCCCGGGCATGCCACCCCCTTACTAACTCTTCCACCTGCTGCTTGAACGCTGGAGCCCTGGTGCCCTGTCCTCAGGCTCCCCTGCCATGATGTGGAGAACCTTGGAGCTGACCACCCACCTACTCAGGGCATGTCTGAGGGACTCTTTTAAGAGCCCCATGAGATTGGACTAGGCCTAGATTCCCCTTTCACTCCCTGAGACCTGTTCCACCTGGCTGGACTGTGGGACATAGAGCGTGGAATGCTCCAACTAGGACCAGGCCCAGGATTAGGAGAGCTGGACCCAGGTGGGCATAGCCCTGCGATGCCAGGCTGCTTAGTGGTGCGGTGATTTGAAAATCATCCCACACCCTGAGGAGGTCCAGACTGTGCTAAGGAAACTGCCCCCATGTCTGCCCAGCTTCTTGGCCGAAGAAGGCCTGACCCTACCTAGACTCATAGTTGCCCATGAGAGACCGAGCCCCAAACCTTCCTTTTGTTCCCTCCCACAGCATGACCTCAGAGACCTGGGGCTACTATGGACCTGTGCTGCCTCTGACGAGAGTCATGGGCAGGCTCTCAGCTCATGTAGGCATATTCTGTCCAAGTTGGAGGCAGGGGCTCAGCTACTGGAGTCTGTTGGGGATGGCTAGGTGATCCAGTGGTGTTTGGGATGACCTCTTCTAAGTCATCTGGACAGGACAATCTCTCCCTGTCACTTGGGGCTAGATAGCCTGTCCCCAGTAATTTGGCCAGAACAACTTCTTCCACCTAGCAGACTAGGGTAGCCTTTCTTTAGTCACTGGAGTGGCATGAACTCTTCTTCAGTTGGTTAGCCTAGTCTCATAACTTTTGGTGAGGCCAGGAACCCTCTCTACAGCTGGGAGCCAGGCAGCCCCAGCTACAGCATCCCAGAGGATTCAAGCCAGGCAGTTCTATCCCTAGTACCCAGCCCCAAGCACACACAAGCACATATCAGAACTCCCTCCAGAAGGTGGGGTTATGTCATCTGTCTGCCTAGTGTCCCCTTTCACTGGGGCCTGGGGGGCCTGCTCCCACCTGCACTTGTGGACTCACTAACTCTTTGTTTTTGTTCTTTTCTGTTCTGCTTTGGGTAACTTGGCTCAGTGTGAGGGAGATGTGAGTATACCTGTCCCACGTGCTGTGCTGCTGCTTGACTTGCCCATCTTGTCCTTGGGCCCACAGGGTGGTGACTGGCCCAGGGCACATCCTGGGGGCATTTTGCAAGCAGCTGGTCTCCCCACCAGAGCCTCTACCATGCATAGCCTCTGGTTTGGGGGGAATGCTGGGCATTGGAGCCTGTGGGTCAGCTTTTTGCAAATGTTGAAACCTGTCACTCTGTCCATCCATGCAATCATCTGTCCACCCTCATTGTGGGGGAGGGGTCTGGTCCTTGATGCAGGAGCGAGAGATGTGATGTGTGGCAAATCTGGGATGGAGAAAGCTACGGTGGGGGCAGGTTTTATTGGGGGACTGTGGCTGTAACTGGGGTGTCTGAATGAGACTGGTCAAGGAGGAGGGGGCCATGACCTGTGGGCCGGACCCAACCTTTGGCTTAACCAGGAGTAGGGATGCTGACAGCAGCCATGAGCTGGCTCTTTGCCACATCTGCTCATGGGGAATCCCTGTCCATGTCCCCCTACTTTGTCTTTGTCTTGACTTATCCTAAGCCCCACTCTGTCTCCAGGAGGTTGGAGTGGGGAGAGAGGTTTCCATGTTGTGTTTGTGTATAGCCTCCTGTCCCTGGGGCTGGGGGTTCCTGGCATCTCCCTGTGGGAGACTCTGGGATGGCCTTATGGCCTGAGCCCTGGCTCCAGCCCCAGCCCAGCGTGACCCTGGCCCCTCCGTGAACTCTGTTCCCCGCCAGACGGTGCCTGACTTTCAGGAGACTAGACCTCGTAATTACATTCTCTCGGCCAGCGCCTCCGCGGTAAGCGCCCCCACCCACCCCACCCCCAGCCGCCTCTCCTCCCACATCCCACTCCCACATCTGGCCCCGATTGCCCAGGAAGCAGGGGCTGGAGGGTAAGGCAGGGGCACTGCACATCTGGATGGGCAAGGCCTGAGGCTGGGGGAAGCAGTAGGGGGAAAGGGGAAGCAGCAGCTCCTATTTCTACCCGCCTATCTGTCCTCCATGCCTCGTGACCATGTTGCTTGACCTGCTTCTCCCGACAAAATGCTGAGGAGGAGCCAGTTAGACTGAACAGTGTGGTGAACATAAGACGACAGTTGTCCCATCTCCAGGGGGTCTGACACTCTGCCCGCCCCCGTTCACCACAACCCTGAGCAGCTCTCACCAGTCCCCACCTCTGCGCCTGTCTCCACTCACTGCCTGCTGAGTGCCAGGCCTTGTGTGGGCCCTGAGGATAGAGAGGAAGAGCCTGGGCCCTGCTTTCCAGGAGCTCACAGATCTCTAAAGCCAGGTGATAAGGATGACCACTGGTTCACCAGCTGCCTTTGTACCACATCTGCTCCGTGGAACCCTGAGGCGGCCTTAAGAGTGAGCAGGGAGAGGGAAGGCATTGCAGGTGCCAGGAACAGCTTATGCAGAGGCCCAGAGGTTTGATAAGAGAGTGTGCCCAAGAATGACTGAGGCTGAAAGTGTAGGGGAAAAGAATGGATAGTGGTGGGAGGTGGGACAGAAAGTGGTCAGGGGCTGGGTTATGAAGGCTTTGAATGTCTTGGTGTTTTGTTTTTGTTTCTGGTTTTTTTTTTTTTTTTTTACAGCACTGTTGAGACACTTGGTATTTACTCTTTAGAGTTTGGGAAATAGGCTGATCACATCACGCCTATCACAACCACTGCTGTGCCTTTTCTGCCTCTCTGTTCTTCCATTTCCCTCCATGGTGATCTTCTCGTAGACCCCTGCGAGACTCATTTCTGTCATAAGCATGTTGACATGTCTTTTCCTCGTGCAGTCATTCACTAGCTGCGAATTGTCCCTCAAGAGTGCCAACCATAGTTCAGTAGGCCCTATTAGGTCACATACCTTGTTTTTATAAACAACGAGGAGGACGGACATCTCTGTCCACAGGGACTGGCCTTGTTTTGCTTTGTGTACTTCAGGTTACTGTCTTAGGGTAGATTTTTGGAAGTAGGTAGGAGAAATGGGTCTACTAAGTCATGGTGGGGGGAGGGGGGATTTTTCTTCTTTAGACTTTGGATGACACTTCCTGCCCTCCTTCCTGGTCCGAGTGGGAGGAGAAATATCCTGGCGGGTGGAGACTGCCCTGTTTTTTTCTTTTGCCACTGAACCCCAGTGTGACTCAGGCACGAGGCTGTCTTTCTCTGCCGAAGAACAGAAAGGTTCAGTGACTGGCCCAGGGTCACATGGTCCTGCCTCCCAGCCCACCAGCTTTAGCCAAGTGACAGGGTGTCAGGGTGGAGTGGTGGGGGACAGTTGGTCTCCCTTGAGACCCCAGTCCGAGATGGGGCTTACACTGTAGGCGAGACATGGGAGAAACACAAGCAGGACTTCCCAGCTGGCTGTTCTCCCCCTCCCTGCATGTGGCATGTCAGACTAGACTGTGGTGTCAGTCCCTGCTCATACCAGGCCTCATGCCAGCCTCAGCTCCTGGTTTGATGGGTGAGGATTATGTGGTGGGAGGTGTAGAGGGAAGGGGTGGGAAGAGGTTGGGGTCTCTGGGAGCTGGGGCAGGGCATGGGCTCTGGGGTTAAGCTGTCCACCCCTCCCCGCCTTGCTGACTGGTGCCCACCTCCCCTCCCCTGCTGACTGGTCCTGTCGTGGTCTCTGCAGCTTTGGAGTGATGAGGTGGACAAGGTGAGTAGTACTGGGCTTGGGGGAGAGGGCTAGCAAGGGGTAGGGAATAAGGGTCCAGGCACACCTACAGCTGTAGGAATGAGGTCTGGTTTCTAGTTCTGGGCTCTGCCCATACATGAGGTCCGTCTCTGGACCTCATTTTCCCTCTGTACAGAAACTTTTACTCCACAGAGCCTGGCAGCACACAGTAGGCACTCAGGAGGTATTTGCTAATTGGGGATTATCCCCCTAATGGGTGGTAGTTTCCAAAGAGGAAATGAACAGGTATGCTCATGGCAAAGCACAGAAGGGCCCGTTGCTGTAGCTGCTGGTCTCATGGATCCACCAGCTCAAGGGGGACCTTCCTGAGTGGGCTTGCAGCTTCTCCAAGGGTTAGGGTTCCTGAGCTCTGGTCTGGGCTCCAGGTCTGATGTCATGGGTGGAAAGTGCACCCACACACCCCAGATACCAGTCTTCACCCTTAGGGGCAGTGACATCCTGAACATGGAGGGGAAGAGGAAGCTGTTCCCTGGTGGGCCTAAGGGCCCTGGAGAAGGATGATGGGAGGAAGGAAGCAGGGAAAGGTGAGTCTTGCTGTCACACACATTCTCAGTGTCCTGCCCTTCCCAGGCTGAGCAGGAGCTCCGAGTGGCCCAGACAGAGTTTGACCGGCAGGCAGAAGTGACCCGTCTCTTACTGGAGGGAATCAGTAGCACTCATGTAAGTCTTGCCCCCAATTCCTCCTTTTTTAATTTTATACATATATACATATGTATATACACACATATATATATTTTGTTGTTGTAGAGAATATATGTAGAACATACACCAATTCAGTAATTTCTACCCCAGTTCCTCTGATCACTGTCTTTGTGCCACCCCTCAATGTACTTGAATCTTAGAAGATGGGAAAAGAGTGCTTGATGGTATGGTGTTTAAGGGTATAATCTGAGTGTTACCCACAGATGCCCTTGGGGCTGGAAATGCTGCTTTTAGCAGAGCAAGTCCTGAAGGATAGTGTTATCTCTGTCTTCTAAGGAAGCAGGAGACTTGAGGAGAAGAGATTGGAATGCTGGTCTAGGATCTGGCAGAGGATGGGGTGGCAAATCCAAAAAGTTGGCAGTTTGAAAATAGCAGATACTCCGTGGGAGAAAGGTGGTAGTCTGCTCTAATGAAGATTTTGCCTTGGAAACCCTATATGGCAGTTCTCCCGTCTTGTAGGGTTGCTTTGAGTTGGAATCAACTTGAGAGCAACACGTTTTATTTTGAAGATATACCCCCCAGCCCCATGGGCAGATACTGGAAGTCATCACCGGGCCTCTTCCCCACAGGTGAACCACCTTCGCTGCCTCCATGAGTTCGTCGAGTCTCAGACGACTTACTATGCGCAGTGCTACCGCCACATGCTGGACTTACAGAAACAGCTGGGCAGGTGTGGGTGCTGGGCCAGACACCACTGAGTCCACTTGGGGCAGGCGGGGGGCATGAGTTGGCTTTCAAATTCAAAGGCAGCCCAGTCTCCTTTGGACATGAACCTTTTACCTGAGCTCAGAAAGCTCTCAGCTGAGCCTCTTACTCTCTGATGGGTGTCATCATGTCCCTCTCTGGGCCCTGGCACCTCATTAGTATGGTAATGGGTAGCTGGGCTTCATGAGCTGTGAGTACCCCGGGGCTCTAGGACCAGTCCCAGGAGAATGCTGGGGGTGGGTGGAGAGGATGACAAGGTAAGGGGGCAGCACATCTCATTTTTTCACCTTGCTTTTCCCTTCATGCTTCCAGCTCTCAGGGAGCCATGTAAGTAGTAGAGTGGGGTCTCCGAGACTGGGGAAGGGGTTCTGGGGCAGTATGAGTGGGCCCAGCTAGTATTTTGGGGCAAGAGGGATGCCCAGGGCTGACTCAGAGAGAGATGGCTTCCAATGTTGAGACATGTCCCTCCTCTCCTTCCCAGATTTCCAGGCACCTTCGTGGGCACTACAGAGCCTGCCTCCCCACCCCTGAGCAGCACTTCACCCACCACCACTGCAGCCACGATGCCTGTGGTGCCCTCTGTGGCTGGCCTGGCCCCTCCAGCGGAGGCTGCTCTCTGCTTGGAGGAAGTGGCTCCACCTGCCAGCGGAACCCGAAAGGCCCGTGTGCTGTATGACTACGAGGCAGCTGACAGCAGTGAGCTGGCGTTGCTGGCTGATGAGGTGGGCCTGGGGGCTACAGGGGGTGGGAGGAAAGGAAGAGTCAGCAACTGCAACTGAGGGCATTGGGCCTGAAGACTCCAGTCTCTGAGGGGCCCTGGGGGGTAGAATATGAGGAGGGTGGAGGGAGGCACACGTTCTAATCTGCCGTGTCTCCAGAGTGGGTGGGGAGGTGACTGCCCTCGCGTCACTAGATGTGGATACCCGTGTGTCATGAGAGTCTCAGCTCTGTCCCCTCAGTCTGGTGGCCAGTTCTGCCTTTGTCTGGGACCTTGACACAGCTCTCTGTCCTCCCTCTTCAGCTCATCACTGTCTACAGCCTGCCTGGCATGGACCCTGACTGGCTCATTGGTGAGCGAGGCAACAAGAAGGGCAAGGTCCCTGTCACCTACTTGGAACTGCTCAGCTAAGCAGGCTCCCTCCCAAGCCTCTGTCCATTCTGGCCTGGGCAGGAGTCTGGGTACAGCGCTGCCACTTGTCTGTTGGCGACCCAGCTGCTCAGGGTGGGGAGACTGACCCCCTCGTCTTTGCCCTTGGTCATCCAGCTGTGAGGGAGCCCCAGAGGCTGAATGATCCCTGTCCCCATACAGCCCTGCTTCTGACTGGTGATTTCGGAGCCTCCAACCCTGCCCGCATCCCTCAAGCACCCCAGCCCTCCCCACTCTGCTAAGGAGGGAAGAGACTGGCTGCAGCAGCTGTGCTCAGACCCTAGACCGGTGGTGGGTGTAGGCCACAGAGCGCCTGAGGAAGCGTTGGGGCGTATGGTTGGCAAGAAGAGCACCCATCTTTAGTTGCCAAAAGCAGAAATGGGGCAAAGCAGCGGGGCAGACAGGTCTCTGGCAGCGCTCAGGAACTGGGTACTGTCCCCCCAGCTCAGCCTGGAGCTGGAGGGGAAATGGCAGGAGAGGCAGGGTTAAGCCCTGGAGCAGCATCTTCACGGTGCTACCCTTTCACCTCTCCTGCCCCTTACAGCTCAAGCCAAGTATGGTGGCTGCAGCTTTCACCTCTCTATAAACTCACTTTTTAACTGGTATTTTTACTTCTGCCTGTTTGCTTGCTCTCTAGCCACTCACAAATAATAAAACATCCTTCGTGTGCAAGCTGTCTGGGCTCCTGTCAGGCTGCTGGTATCACAGGTCTGGTCTGAGGGTGGGAGAGGGAAGGACAGCTTCACACTTGCACAGTTCTGTTCTGGGTGCAGCTGATGTACAGGAAGCAGTGCACACTGCAGTGGGCCTCTCTCCCAGAAGCACTTGGACAAAGGGAAGGGAAGTTCTTTAACAAAGAAGTGCATTCCTCACAGCTCTCCCTCTCAGGGCCTGGAGCAGTGCTTCTCAAATTGAACTGCTTTGCCTGTACATGAAGTTTCATGGTAAACGTTTGATTTCTAATAAAATATCCCTGAATTTGGGTAGATTATGGAATGAACTGCAAAATTTGCATGCCAGTTTAAAGGAACTGCTGTCAGTGCTTTCTGTGGGCCAAGTTCTGAGTCAGGCATGTTCCCGTGTTCTTAGGGTGATCTCACAACAGTGTCCCCATTTCATAGATGAAGAATGGATCACCTCAAGGCGCCACAGTTAATTAGCAAGTGGCCAAGGAAGAACTCAGCCCAAGTCAACCTGATTCTAGAAGCTCAAATGGGTGGTTTTGGGCTATAAGCTATGTTTGAAGGTCATTTAGCTAGACCCAACAGTCTATGACTTAGGTCCCCAGGAGGCTAAAGGCTAATAGGCCCCATCGCTGGAGCTTCTGAAGAAAGGGAGATGAGGAGGACAGGGGTACGGAGTTGTTAAGTAGGAAGGAGCAAACCTTCAGGAAAGGCTACACCCAGTGATAAGCTCAGCTAGAAGTGGAGGGAGAGGCAGGGACAGGACCTGGGGCAGGCCGAAGAAGGGAAAATCGGACATCCCACCTAGCACTCCCATCTGAGGAGCAGTAACGGAGGGATGTCTATGAGTAAGCCATCAGAAAACATCCAGCCTTCACTACCCTAAGTGCCTGGCCAGGACAGACTGTTCTTCTATTAGCTGGCTAAGCTCCTGGCCTTTAAAGACATGAATCATACAGCTGTCTATAAACAGTATTTTAATATTTGTATAAATAGACCACAGTATTACCAAAAAAAAACTGTTAAGAACAGAGCATGGAAAACATTTTCAAACCCGTACACAGTTTCCCTCCTGAACTGCACATGGCATTGGTCCCCCTGCCTGTCCCCTGGGTGGGGGTCAAGTGCTGTGGGGAATGCTCAAAGGAAAGGAATCCACCTCTGGGGTGTTTTTAACATGAGGGCCTGAGTACAAGGGACCCTTGGCTTTCCATCCCTGCTGTTGACCTCTTGATCTGTTACAAAAATAATGCCATTGGGCGGGAGGTTGGAGTTGTGGCTACTCTGTGGAGAGGGTGACAGGGCTGTGCTCAGGCACAGGTGCGCCCCGCCAGGTAGGCCAGCAGCACCCCACTGCCCAGGGCTGTTGTGCAGGCTGGTGGAGAGTGGTAAGCAGGCAGCGCGCTACTGCTCTATCTCTGCACATGCCGGACGAAGGCCTGTACCAGCTGGATCAGAGGCTCCTGACTCTCAGGGCTGGCTTTGGAGACAGAGGTGGACTTGCCCTGAGGTGAGGGGAGGACCCCAGTAGCAGGGGAACTAGGCGCTCCCCGGCGGAAGTAGCGTGAGAGGCTGGAGAGCAGCGTGCTCTACAAGGAAAAAGAACAGCTTGATGAAGTCCAGTGCCTCAGGCCAAGGATTTTCCTGGCCTCAGGGTCTGGCCCTGGGAAGTGGGAGGACAGGTAGTACCCATGGGGTTCTCTCTCTGTTAGCCCAGCCCCCTCCATCAGGGCCCTCCTATCTATCCATACCAACTCTGAGCTGAGTTCCTGCTTCATCCGCTGTTTATCTCGGGGGTGGACAGCTGGGTCCCTCAGGTAACGCATTGCCTGAGAGATGAGCAGATAGAAGCAGTTTTCCATGGTAAACATCAGGAGGGACCTGGAATAAATGATGGTTTTTTGGCACTGTTCAGAGGACCAAACTGGCAGGTGCAGGGTGGGCGATTCAGCTGAGAAAAATAGCCAGCCTGGCCGCTTCACAAACACCCCAACTCAGACCAAATTCCCAAAGATCTTACTTTAGTGTTCTGGTCCCTTCCACCTGTGTGGTGAGCCCCACAGCCTGGGTAAGGGGCTCCTTTTTCTTGTCCAGCTGGAGAAAAAGGAGGAATAGATCACAGCAGTTAAGATAAAAATGGTAGTGCTCCCATTTCTTGAGAGCCTCCTACTTGCCAGGTCTGTGCTAAGCAATTTCATCAGCTACCTCATTTTAATCCTCACAGTAATTCTGACAGAAAGGTTCTATCATAATCATTAGATGAAGAGGAACAGGCTTGGGAAGGCTGGATAATGTGCCAAGGTAATAGTTAAAAGAAGTGGGAGACTGGAGGGAGAGCTGTACTAAAGAGCAAGAGGCTGACAGCACCCTACTTACCTCTCCAAGCATGTTCAGGGCCACATTCACTGTGGCCAGAAGTGTCCCGAAGGAGGGGGCCACCTCAGAGTCAAAGGTGGGAGTGGTAAAGCTTAGGGCAAACAGGAAGTTGTACTCAGCAAGGTCCAGGGACTGTGAGACAAGAAAAGATAGGCCAGCTAGGACCCCAGATAGCTCTTAAGGACAGAGCAGAGCAAAGTCTACCAGGCTCACTCCTGGAAGTGAGTGCATAGGGGGTGGCTGGTACCTGATCCAGCAGGATCTGACAGACATCTGGGGTGAAATGGCGCAGGGCTGCCAGAGTCCTACTGAGGATCTTGAGAAGGCCATACTGGACCGTGTGCAAGGCTCTCTGCTTTGACGCCTCTGTGTCGGCTGCTGGCTGCTTGGAGGAGGCAGAGCAGGAGGGGGCAGCCAGGGCAGTGGTTGGTGGCCGCTGGACTCGGGGGGCAACAGCTGCTGGGATGACATCCCCATTTTTGTTCTGGGGAAGAGTCAAGAAATGACAAGTGGGGCACAGGGAAGCCAGGCATGGGGCTTCCAGGGCAGCCACAGGGGGCAGGGTTCAGTTACCTGTAAGTAGTGCTGCAGCATCTTGCGGCTATGCAAGAGGGAGGTGCAGGCCTGGCATAAGTAACCCAGGTTTACCTGAAACACCACAGAAGAGTATGAGGGAAGATTCTCCTGGCAGCAGCCCTAGCCAGCTGACTAGATCAACTCAACAGGACCCTACATAATCCCACTGCTCTCCTCTCCCCTGCTGAGCATCTACTAACAGGTCCCTTCCACATCCTCTAGCTTCAAACAGTCACACCCCCTCAGTATGCAGGCCTGCAAATCCCGGTCATGGGGTCATGTCTGTGCTATTTCTGAGATCTAGCGAAATGCCAGGCAATACTGTAATAGTCCTAAGTAAATAAGTAAGATTGAGGTTATTAATTCCCACTTTAAGGAAGAAGAAAAAGGCTTAGATAGGTGAAGTGACTTGGCCAAGGTCACACAACCAGCAAATAACAAAAGCCTGTCTAACTCCAGAACCTGGTTCCCCACCCCGCCCCAAGTTGGTTCCCAGCTTCAAGCCTTTGCCTAAGGGATCTGAACCAAGGTCTATCTGATAGCGCCCAAGTTCTTAACCTACAAAACTGCCCTTTGTGTGGAGAAAAAAGTTTACCTCTGAGTAAATGACATGAAACCAAACCCTGTGCTCCCTAAGCAATTCCATTTTCAGAAAATAGCCTCTAATTCACTAGAGGTACCCCATAAAGTGTCAGCCACACTGCTCATTGCCCTCCTCCTGTCCCCAAGTATTTCCCAGACCCCTCCAAGAACGCATGTCAGGGGCCCCCCGACCTGGACATCTCGCATGAGCTGAGGCAGGTGGAAGTGCCATTCCTTCATGAAGTTGGAAAGCTGCAGGATGAAGCCCACGGTGTGGTCCGCCTCCTCTAGGCAGGCCAGACTCTGTACTGTCCTCACTGCGTTGAGGCACTGGGAGGAGAGAGTACAGTAGGGAAGAACCTGGATGGCTCAGGTACCTGACACACATGCTCCGCCCTTGTGGGAAGGATAGGTCCTGGGCCCACAGATGCTTGACAACAACAGATGGCCTGGAATTACAACTAAGAAGTTTCTGTCTGTGCCAATTCTAGATCCTTTCACTCATTCAGCAGTTCTAAGCCCTAACCTCCTTAACCACCGGCCTCCTGTATGGCCCAGATCTCCTTTCACACTAACCTCCACCTCTACGATCCAGGCAGCCTCCTTACCTGTAAGGTCCGCTCCTGGTGAACACCCACAAAGTCCAAGGCCTCAGTCAGGAAATTGTAGCGCAGGGTTTTGAGCAGCCTCTCCATCAAGGACATGGACAGGCGGTAGACCCCTGGCCAAGAGGGGGCATCCAGCGACTTCCGAGAGGTGCTAGGTGTCTAAGACACAAACAGCAGGCAAAATCAGGACATGGAGTTACAAGAACCCAGCAGGACCTCAAAGAAGCTGAGGATGCCCATCTACTTGGGGGAGAAAACCTCCTAGAATGGGCAAAACTATATGCCTGGCAACTGGCACTGCTGGAGAGGGTCAAAGGCCACAGCTGCAAGGAAAGAACACTAGGCAGAGATACAAGAATCCTGGGTTCTAGACTCAGGTAGGCCACTAACAAACTATGTGGACTTAGACACGTCACTGCCCTGCTTGGTCCTCACATTCTTTCTCTAAATGGTGTCTGTGCTAAATTTCAAATAGTTCATGATTCTAATACAGTGAGATATTAGGCTGAAGGTGACTCTTAAGATTAGGAGACATCATTTAACTAGAGGAGTCCCTGGGTGGTGCAGATGGTTTACACGTTCAGCTGCTAACCGAAAGGCTGGAAGTTCAAGCCCACCCAGTGGTGCCTCAGAAGAAAGTCCTGGCGATCTAATTCTGAAAAAAAAAAAAGCCAATGAAAACTCTGTGGAGCACAGTTCCATGACACACATAGGGTCGTCGTGAGTTGAAGCCCGCCTGATGGCAGCTGGTTTAAATTTTTGTTTACTAAACTACAAGTCACCAGCCACTCCTCAGAAGGAAGGCTGGGCGATCCACTTCCGTAGTGATAGAGCCTCGGAAACTCAAG